TTCTTTTGCTTTTGTTTTCTTCCCTGCTGGACCCAAGGGCATTAATTATGGATCCAAGTAAAATGAATTCCTTGACAACATCAATCTTTATTCTTTTAATCATCTTGCTGCTTATTGGCCCATTGGTTATGTTGAGGTGTCTTGGATCCTCTTCACTTTCAACCAGCAAGATTGTGTCATCTGCATACTCTAGATTGTTAATAAGTCTTCCTCCAATCTTAATGGTTCGTTTGCCTTCCTATATTGGCATATCATTCATTTTATTTCACCATGCTTTATTGCAGCTAACCGATCATGTGTTTTTAACCAATTGAAGGTTTCTGGCAACCCTTCATCAAATGAGTCTTAGCACCATTTTTCCAGCAGTGTGTTCACGTTGTGTTTCTGTCACAGTCAAGAATGGAGGAAGGCTGAGTCTGACCTCCTTTGACTCATGCATGAGGAGGAAGGGGGGTTAAATTCAACATCAGTCCAAGGTCGACTCCTATGAGGTGTAAATCAGATATGCCTCTACCTTCCAGGTTTTCTCATGAATTCTTTTATCAGCTGTCCCTCCACTGCACATACTGCTTTTCTGCTAGGTTTGATCGTTTATTGCATTCAATAATTTATTGCCATTCAGAACTCATAGACCATACTCAAAATTAAGGGGTTTAATTGAGAAATAAAAGAACACCATTTGAGATAAAAAATGCTCAAGACATGGTTCTTTGTGGAGGACAGCCTTTTCTCAGCCATGCCCACATGCTTACCTCTCTACTTTAGGGCCACAACCTTCGGCTTCTACCTTTCTCAGACAGTGGTAGAACACTCCTTTAGCCTTCAAAGAGCACTCCACTCTGCTGTAAGCCTCTGCCCAAGATACTCAGCTCCAGCCAGCTCAGTCACCAAACCTAGTGAGGTGAAGTGAAACTGCTTGAATATGGTTCTTCTGTCCATCGCTATAATTCCCACTAAATGGTTGGGTGGGACCATGTAGAGGGCGCTAACTTGGGCATCGGTCAGTTTTGCCAGTCCTCCGAGTATGAGAGAGCCAACACAAAAGGAAGAGACCTCCAAGAAAGAGCAGTCAGCAGTGGAGTGTGTGCGAGATTTCTGTCTGAAGTGGTGGCGGCAGCAAAGGAGCCATGCTGAGGAGAAGAGCAGGCAGACTTGCGAGCTCAGAGAGGCCCGGGCCAAGGGACCCTGTAGCTGAGAGGCTGAGGACTACAGAGAGACCTGGCTCCATGTTGAGAGCCAGCAAAAGATTGTATCATTAATGTTTTATGATCCTGACTTGTGGAGACCTTTTAACTTCTTAATAAACGCTATAATCTTGAGGATGGTCTATAAGTTCTGTGTGGTCGTTTCAACAAATCAAAAACCCAGCCAGAAAAGTAAGAGTGCCACGGGAAGAATCTTTGCTGTCAGAATAAGGTAAAAAGATAAGTCAAAAGGCATGTCTAGCATGACCTTGTGACATTCTTTCTACTGGCGTGGAGCTGGATTCTCCCTATTGAAGTCAGAGATCAAATGTCGCCCCAGCATTATTTTCTCACTTAGATCTCCCAGTGAAGTGTTTGGAATACCCACTCTGCAAGTCAGTCTCCTGCCTGAAGGCGCTGAGCGCTACTTGTTCCAGGGGCTGCTTAACCTGCTTGCTCTGCCTTGTGTTCTGGCTCTTGGTTCCGTTATTGCTACTGTCACAACTCTCTTATGAATCAAGGAGATCAGAGCACACGCATGTCAAGGAACACTCCACATCTGACTCCTAATGGAAGTGAGATTTCTGCCCTCCCCATGAGATGAACCATTTATGCCCAGTGGAATGGCAAAATTGAACAATCCCCTTTTTAACAGTTCCACGTTTTTTCAGTCATAGTGCTGTTAAGAGTCATTCACAACCAAGTTGTATAATCCTATCAACCTCTTCCTGACGTGCTGCACCCAGACTTTTCGGGAAGAAAAAATATGCCCAATCTGCATAGTGTCCCACCCAGTAGTTTGGTGTGAGTTACAATGATAATGGTTAGAAGTCCCATAGCAGGTAAATCAGTGCATGCACCACAGTTACAGTTAATTTTCAGATTACTTCAGACTTTTTCATATTGTTTCTTTAAACTAATAGATTACATTATAGTGTAAATATAACTTGTATATACTGGGAAACCAAATTATGCAGCTCACTTCAGTATCTGCTTTATTGTAGTAGTCTGGAACTGAGCCCGCAAAGTATGCAAAGTATGCCTCTATTCCAGCTTCTCGAATAATACGCTCAGCATACAAATGGAGTACTTGGTGAAAGGCCACAACCTTGCAGCATGCTTTTACCGATTTTAAACCTTGCTCTGTTCACATTGGCTGCCTCTTGGTCTCTGTACAGGTCCTACGTGAGCAAGTGTTCTGGATTTCCCATTCGTCATAACAGTGTCCATCATTTTTATGACCCACACAAATGAATGCGTAATCAGTAAAATACAAATAACTATTTCTTTTGATATTCCCTGCTTTCAGCCAAGAGCCATCTGATAGAAGTGATAACCAGCCCTCATTTTTTGTCCTTTTCTGAGTGCACCTAGAATTTCAGACATCCCCCCGTGGAAATAAATTGTCAGCAAGATTTTGCTGTGTAGAATAGGAAGGTTTATTAGTTGTAATTTCCATACATTCACTGAATTTAGCTTGCCTACATGAGCAGCCCTGGTGTGGTGTAGGCTACCCACTGAGCTGCTAAGTGTGAAGTCTGGTTCAAACCCACCAGCTACGCCTAGGGAGAACGATGGGGCTGGCTACTCCCATAAAATTTTTTGTTTACGAAGGGCTCAAGTAGAAAGCAAATATCTTGAGAATGAGGGCAACAAATGTACAAATGTGCTTGACACAATGGATGGATGTATGGATTGTGATAAGAGCTGTATGAGCCCCCAATAAAATGATTTAAAAAATTTTTGTTGTTAACGTCTCAGAAAACCCAAAGGGCCAGTTCTACTGTGCCTATATGGTCACAATGAATTGGAATCGACTCGGTGGCATTGAGTTTGAATTTTTGAGTTTTACCCGAGTTAGTATCTTCTTTCCTGAGAAGAACCATTTGCATTCTGTTATTGGTGAGTTGAACACTATCCAGTTAACCTGTTTAGATTCTTAGATTCACCAAAAAAAAAAAAAACCCAAAACCCAAATATCTATTAATATTGAATTTTGGACATGAAAGAAAGATGAGTTCATTTTCATTGTAGAAGATAAGCAGATACGATTATGTCATTTAAAACACCAGCAAACATTTTTGCATCTTTTCTGTTTACTAAGTAACACAATTCTTGTAGAAGATTTAGGAAATACAGAAAAATGACTTACTCCAGTTTCCTAGCGTTTCCTTAGAGTTTTACAACTATTATTTTCATTATGAATGTACTGCTTATATATCATATGGTGAAACAGTTATTAATAATCCTTTCAAATGATTTCTAATACCTGTACTCGGTCCTTTTGGATACACCGTAATGTACCCGACCATCCACTGTAGTTGGCTAGACTTTTAGGTTGTTTGCCTTTTAAATTTAGTTGTGTCCTTTGGCTTTTGTTTTCTTCCCTGCTGGGCCCCAGGGTGTTAGTTATGGATCCAAGTAAAATGAATTCCTTAACAGCACCAGTCCTTGTTCTTTTTATCATGATGCTGCTTACTGGTCTGTTTCTTCTGTTTTCTTTATGTTGTGGTGTAATCCATACTGATGTCTGTGTCTTGGCTCTTCATCAGTAGTATGTCAAGGCCTCTCCACTTTCAACAAGCATCGCCCTCTTGGAGGGAGAGTCTAGTTTTTAAAGGTTCATAGTTTTTTTGTAGAATGAGGCAACATGTGTGCTGTTAAACAGAAGAAACATACATTAAATTCTTCCAGGTAGGGTGGGATGACATTTTCCAAATGGATTTTCTAATAGTTTTACTAAAAAATGACTGTTGCAGTTTTTCTGCATTTGCCAGCTTTGCTGTTTTGCAAAGACATACTAAAAGTAATTTTCAGAGAGTAAGCGGTAGGAATACGTTTTGGCCTAAGTGATAAGTACTTTTTAGTTTAATTTGTTTTGTTTTAGCTTTAGTAGAATTTTATTTGTCTGTAAGTCCAACTCCAGACTGAACTCACTCCCATTGAGATGCTGCCGACTCATAGGGACTACCCTACAGGACAGGGTAGAACGGCCCCTATAAACTTCAGGGTGGAAAAATCTTACTGTCTTAAGAAGTAAATAGAACATTAAATTTAGTGGCCAATTCACAGAATACTCTTGCATTCTTAGAAACATGCTTGCATTTTTGACAACTGTAATATTTGGGGCACTTGTATATTTGTGCTTGGCTGTGGCTTTTTATTTCAATGGAATTTCAAGGGATTGCTTGTTAACTAGATTGCTTGGTTTGAATTTGGAAGGTAATCCTCCAGGATTAGCACTGTTGGAAGAAGAAATTTGTAGCCATTCTAGCAGAGGCCTTTTAAACAGTTTGACTTGAGCCATGTGAAGGCTCATTCTTTGTGAGAAGACTCTATCTTGAAGATGGAATGGAGTGTTCAGATGTTTCATTGGTCTCTTTTCTGGTGCTGCTGAGAGCATGGGACATGAATATAGGCCTTCACAGCTTCTGGTGCAGCATTGCAATGGCTGTTAACACTGTGAGCCCAGGAAGGAGCAGATCTGTCACTTTGTGGTAGTCCCTGCTGGTAGAAGACCTCTTTTCCAAACTACGTAAACTTGTGAGTAGTAAATGAAATTGAATTAGTGACAAAGATTTTAGTATCACCATTGGACTTTTTTGAATGAATACCTAAACACTTCTGGGAAATTTACCTTTATTTTAAAATTATTATTTCTTTAATATATCTTGAATCGTTGGAACACTTGGAGCCAAGCTGACCCTTACTCTGTTGTTTCTGCACTGTGGTGGTAGGTGAAAGAGGAGACAAGTTTTTGAGTTTGTTAATTTAAGTATGGCACTTTTGATATTGTCTTTCTCTTTCTTCTGCCAGGGAGGACATGTATGCCCAGGACTCTATAGAGCTACTAACTACATCCGGTATCCAGTTTAAAAAACATGAGGAGGAAGGCATTGAGACCCACTATTTTGCAGAACTTCTTATGACATCGGGAGTAGTCCTCTGTGAAGGGGTCAGATGGTTATCATTTCATAGGTAAAAAGACTGCCCTGAAAAGGCATTTGTGCTACCAATTTGTACCTGCATCTTATTTGTTTGGGTCACTGTTAACAGCATTTTCAATCGTGGTTCTAGAAAGAATGGCCTAGGAGCCCTGTTGTGCCACAGTGGTTAAAATCGCTCAACTGCTGAGAGGTAAACAGTGTGGACCCACCACCACTCTGCAGGGGAAAGTTGGGACAGTCTGTTTCTGTACCGATTTACAGTCTTGGGAGCCTTGTTGGACAGGTCGACTCTGTGCTATCAGGTTGCTATGAGTCCGAATCATAGCAGTGGGGTTAGTGGGTATTTTAATGTTGGTCTCCTTAAAGGTTAATGTAATCGTGAGGGATCCATCTTGGCCTGTGAGAGCGTGTTGCCTAGTGAGAAGAGTATAGACTGCCAGAGTTACTTAACATCTTCTAAGCTGTTGTTTTGGTTTTTGTTGTTGTTCATTTTTTTATTTTATGCTTTCAGAAGTGAAACCATTCATTTAAAAAATTTTGTTGTCTGCCACATACCAGGCACTGTGATAAGTTTCTAGGGATTAAGACTAAACAGTAATCTTAATTCTGGTGTACACAGTATGAAAGGGAGATAGTACGGCATGGCCAAGGCAAAGGAAGATGGACAGATATGTAAGAATGAAGGGCAGCTATAGTAAATAATGGAGCCCTGGTGGCATAAAGGGTAGCTAACCACAAGGTCAGCAGTTTGGATTCACCAGCTGCTCCACAGGAGAAAGATGAGGCTTTCTACTCCTGTAAACAATTACAATCTCAGAAACCCGCGAGGGCAGCTCTACCCTATCCTATAGGGTCACTGTGAGTCAGACTCAACTCTATATCAGTGAATTTTTGTTTGAATTTATGGTAAATACTATAACATGCCAAATCCTGCAACCGTACATATAAATACTTGTGCTCACGGGATGCATAGGTAGATAGGCTTGCTAAACAAGAGTATACTTAAATTCCTACATAGATACCGTTGTGGATGTTTCTACATTCCAATCTGTTTCCAGTTGTGGGAACTTACCGTATATACTTGAATATAAGCTGTTTTTTAGCACATTTTTTAGTCCAGTTTTTGTGGTGAAATTAGGTGCTTTGCAGATATGCGGGTAGGCTTATACTCGAGTATAAACGGTATGGTTTATAGCCAGACAGCTCATGGGACTGAACTGTTAACCTTGAAACCTAAGGACTGTATCCATATAGGACATCTGAACCAACTGACATGGGTAGTTCATGCAGATAATGTTCTACTTATCTCACATTGGTGAGTAGTGTCTGATTTGAAAAGCTTGTAAGTGGCCATCTAAGATGCAGCAGTTCTCTGACGATTTGGTGTGAAGGATACTGATGAAAACCAGACTCAAGGAAGTAGCCTGACACCAGAAGAGCCAAGTGGTGCCCGGCCACCACTATTGACCACTCTAACCAGAAACATAATGGAAGGTCCTGGTTAGAATGGGTGAGAAATACAGAACAGAATTTCCATTCCTTATAAAGAGACTCCATTTAATGGTCTCTTGTAGACTAGAGAAACCCCCCAGAGGATTGCCCTAAGACCCTTCATACTTAGAATTGAAGCCACTGCCTGAGGCCACATTTTGGCCAAATAATAGACTGGGAAGTAAAATAGAAAATAATGCTCATCATGAATGTGTTCCTTATTACAATAATCAACTACTGGAGACCAAACAGGTAATATTTGCCCTAAAGAAAAGAGAAGAAGGGGGGAAGCGGGATAAGTGGAAAATGAGAGCAGGGGGGTACTAGGAGAGTTCTGGCTCCTGGTGGGATTGCACCCAGTGTCAGAACCATTCGTGTGTGGGTGGTTTGGGGAAAACGGATTTGCTGTGTAACTTTTCACCTAAGCACGAGAAGATGTTAAAAAGCAAGGGGGTAAAGGATTGCAGGGATTAACCTATCAAGAAAGATGAACATTTTAAAAATTATTATTTAAAACCTGATTCAGGGAAGTCGTCACTTAGAAAAAATATCTTGCAGGATTGTAATAATGTGTCTTTAAAGCAGCTAGTAACGTGCTGAGCACACATTGTATTACTAATAATAGGTAGTTTTTAATTTTTTTTTAACAGTGAAGATTTCACTTTATTAAGTTTGGGGTGGTTAATGGCTTTAAATGTAATTTGCAGTTGAAACATGTCTCCATTGAAAGGCTAATTCATAACTGTCTTCAGCTTTAACTCTTAATTTTATTTTTTTTAATATATAAATCAATTTATTGGCTCTTACAGCTTTTTAAAAAAAATCATTTTATTGGGGACTCATACAACTCTTTATCACAATCCATACATAAATCCATTGCGTCAAGCACATTTGTACATTTGTTGACATCATCATTCTCAAAACATTTGCCTTCTACTTGTGCCCTTGGTATCTGCTCCTCATTTTTTCCCCTCCCTCCCTGCTTCCCCCTTCCTCATGAACCCTTGATAATTTATGAATTATTGTTCTTTTGTCATGTGATACACTGTCCAGCATCTCTCTTCACTCTCTTTTCTGTTGTCCATCCCCGAGGAAGGAGGTTATATGTAGATCCTTGTAATCGGTTCCCCCTTTCCACCCCACTTACCCTTCATAGTTTTTAATTATTTTTATAAAATTAAATTAAATTGCAAAACAATTGCTGGAAACGAAATCATTTCCAAGGCAAGTGAGTGTTCTTCTTTAAAACTACTTCAGTGTAGTGAATTAAGCAAACTTGTAACAAGGACTGCCTTGGCCTGGGAGTGACGTGATGTGGCCTTATGTTGCACTTTTCCTTTTGAAACATTCTCTTACACAGATGCTAATGCTTATATTTCTTTTAATTAGTCAACTTATTGGGAGCTCGTGCTCCCAATATAACAATTATAGCAATTTATAATTCAATTAGATCAAGCATAACTTAGCAATTACTACCATCATCAATTTCAAAACATTTTCTTGCTTCTTGAACTCTTTGATAACTGTGAACATTTATTTTAAATGTGAGTCTCCTGCAAACTTTAGAGTTTGTTTCTGGCCTGAGGAATGATTGTAGTGAAGGACTCTTCATTTTGTCACCTTTCCTGCAAGGCTCCACTTACTTGAGCTATCTATACATTATGAACATGTTAGTCAGTACCTCAAGAGACAAGACTTAATTTTTTATTTTGTGGGAAAATTTTGATTTATTTTTATTTCCTAGACACGAGGTGACAAAATAACTGGGAAGCCTTTATCTGTCCTTTTATTTCACATGACATGTACTTTTCAGAAAATATACTCAGCAAATGTATGCCAGGCACTGAGGATATCAAGATGCTAACTACAGTTCAGAATCTTAAATTGAACCCTGGCATATGTGAATATTTGTCCAGATACATTGCAAGATTTTATCCTACTAAAGGTCATTAAGCATTTTCTTCATCTTCTATTTCTAGTAGATAAATAATTGAAGAAATTTAGAACCTCCAAATAACGTGGTCTTACTTTAATGAAAGTAATAAACATGTTGACCAGTGTTTCATTACTAAGGTTACTTCCTTGCTAAGCATGAGAAGTGTAGGCATTTCTGCTTACACCTTGATATTCTTGGTCTTCATTGGTAAATTCTCCCTTTTTAAAATTAGAAGTAAATATTGTGAAAATTTAGATGTTGTATCTTCAAAAGGTATATGTATAGCATCTCTTATCGAATATATATCAGTTCCAACCAAGTATTTTCAAGAAAAAAAGAATTTTTTTTAACTTAGATTTTTGCTGGAGTTTGCATTTGTTGTTGTTGCGCCTTTTCTGAGGTCTCTACTATGGGGGTGGTGACAGGCATGTCAATCTCCTTATTGCGGATTCTGAGTTAAAGTTTCAGGCTAGTAGCACTGCCTGTAAGATGATGTATCGTTTTGCAATACAAATGTAAGCTCATTTTTTGCAGTGTTGTTTTTGTTTGTAACTCAGAATATTTTCCATATTTATGATACTTAAAGTGTTCCTCTTCTGTATTCTTTTGACTCTTTATAGTGGTTATGACTTTGGCTATTTAATCAAAATCCTGACCAACTCTAACTTGCCTGAAGAAGAACTAGACTTTTTTGAGATCCTACGATTGTTTTTTCCCGTCATTTATGATGTGAAGTACCTCATGAAGAGCTGCAAAAATCTCAAAGTAAGGTTCTGAATGGTATTGCCTGTAATCGTGGTATTTTAAAATCAGATTCAAACTATACTTTTTAGTTGAATGTTAATTGCAGTTAAATTAGTTGATCATTTTCTTTTCATACATTAAAAATTAATCACTTAAAGGAAATTATTTTGTAAAATTTCAATGTATATTGCCAGAATAAATGCTCAACAAAATTCAAACTAAGGGTCAGATTTTTGTCATTGCTTGTCAGAGTGCAGATCATAAAGCAAGACAGAAATGTAAGTGTCAGTGAGATGCTATATACTCCTAAGTGCAAGTTGTCCTCTATAAACACACATCTGTAAGATAAAATCTGAGGTATCCAGTGATAGGCAGGTATATTTAATAGGGTGATGAAGAGTGTCCTTTTAACTAGTCTTCCTTAGAGGCAATTTTGTCGACTTTAGTTATATAATAGTGTTTCCAGGATTAAATTACATATCTAATATGATCTCCGTAACTTAAAGTAGTCAGCTTATTTGTGGTAAGTACTAAATGTGTAGGCCCTTTCTAGATAGACAACAGCTAACTTTTTGTTATTGCTTTATGTGTGTGAGGTTTCTAAATTGTAATTCTCTTTAAAGGAAAGTTTCTGTAATAGGGAAAAAGTACCCCGAAGAATTCCTTGATAATACACGTATATTTTTGATGCTGTTTTTAGGTGTATGAATGTTTATTTTTAAGATAACTTTAAGATATAAGCCAAAGTTACTGTTTCATTTAGGTGTACATTGTTCCCTCTTTTTTCAGTGAAAACTAGTGTAGTGTTCCCAAAGTAGGTGACACCAACACGGCGGGGAGGTGGGGGGTGGGCGGGTGTTCGGACGATCCAGGAGGCCTGCAAAAGCAGATACATGCCTTTATACTGGATATGAACTATGCTACAAAAGTTTCTAATTATTAGAGGAGCGCTGAGTAACTTTTTGCTGTAATTTCTTAGGCCAAATAAGTATGGGAACTTTATACCTTACCTAGTGTTTTTCCCATGAGGGTAAGTACAAAAGTATTGCTCCTGGGTTCCAGTTTATACATGTACAGGTTTATTACAAACAAAAAGGATTTAAACATGTTTCTGTGATAATGGGTGACTACAGACAATTTATCTCAATAATGTATTTGTCTCATTCTCAGTGGAAGGCCTTTGAGAAAAAAGGATATTAAGTATTGCAAAAGCATTAGCTGAGCTCTAAGATTTCTTTTCTCATCAGTGTTAGAGGGATGATCACTGCTATTGAAAATAATTTTATGGAGCAAAAGAATGAGCAACAGTTTGAGAAATGATGTACAAATGCGCTTTACACAATTGATGTGTGTATGGATTGGGATAACAGTTGTATGAGTCCCTAATAAAATGTAAAAAAAAAAAAGAATGAGCAACAGGACTACTCTTGGATTTACCCATACAATCCAGAGAGTAAGATCCAATTAAAATCATTACTTCCAGGGTATCTTCTGGGCTAATTAAAATCAAAGCAGAGAGGTCTGCTCAGTAGCTTTTGTTGTTGTTGTTAGGTACCGTTAAGTTCATTCCCACCCATAGAAACCCTGTGCACAACAGAACAAAAACACCGTATTGTCCTACGCCATCCACACAATTGTTCCCATGCCTGAGCCAATTGTTGCAACCACAGTGTCAGTCCTACTTGAGGGCCTCTTTTGTTTCCCTTCCACTTTACCAAGCATGATGTCCTCCAGGGACTGATCTTCCCGGACAAGATGTCCAAAGTATATAAGACTTAACAAAGTATACAACTCTACCCTTCCTTGCCTCTTAGGAGCGCTCGGCTTTACTTCTTCCAAACAGATTTGTTTACCATTTTTGCATTCTATGGTCCTTTCAGTATTCTTCTCCAGCATCACAATTTAAATGTATCAGTTCTTTGGTCCACATGCATATGAAGTAATGGAAAGTACCATGGCTTGGGTCAGGTGCACCTGAGTCAGAATTAACTTAATAGCAGTGCTTTTGGACTTTTAAAAGAAATATGCTTGTAGCAGATAAGAGCAGTCAAATAAAAAAAAAAAAGAACAGTCAAATTCTGTGTAACTTGAAGATTCTTTTAGCTATGACTCAAGTAGGCTATCCTCGAAGCCCAGCCCACCCAGTTCATGAACCCATATTGCATGTTGAGAACTCAAGGCTAGTACATTTTCAGCTATCTTTGGACATGGCTTTTTAAATTGACATACTTGTATAACAACAATTATTGCTCATCATATATATCATCAAAAAGTCTCTACATATATAAGATATACTGAATAGACCCTAAGTGAATTGCCATGTTAAAATTTAGGTCAAGAACCAAAATGCTTTTTAAACTATAGACAGCCATAATATGTGACCCTATTGTGTTGCTTTCCTAAGCAGTTGCTAATGATACCTAATCCTCCTCCTATTTTTAACACAGAAGCAACTGCCGTTCAAAGCACTATTTCAAGCTGTTATGTAACAGGGTTAGTTGCTCTTAAAGGCTATAACAATTTGGAAAAGAATTTCTTTGTGCTGTTGGTGGTACTCTTTATTCTTTTTTTATTTTATTATGGCACTCTTTATTTCTCTTGATTTTGCCTTTTTTTTCCTCATGCTATTCTTTCACTTCCTCTTTCTGCCTTTTTTCTCTTCCCTTTTTTTTTTTTCTTTTACTGTCTCGTGTTTCTGTTTTAATACCTGCAATACTGTTTAGGCAGATTTTAAAAGAGCTTGCTTAGCAATTTTAATGACATTTCTTTTTAACACAGTTGTAGCTGAAAATTACTCATAAGGACTTTGTTTTATAAAAATACTTAGATGGAAAATACCTTAGTTGGCATTGTGGGGAATACAATTAATGAAGTGAACAAAAATGTATATGAGTTATTTAATGGAAAACTAATGTGCTCTGTAAACCTTCACCCAATTCACAATAAAAATACACATACAGACACAATCCAACATATCTTAAGTTGGATTGGTGGGAAGTTTAAGAAAAATTTAAAGACTGCCAAACAGACTGATGTAATTACAGACCATTAATGTACTTGCTAACTATTGTCCTGTGTATCATTTTTCTCCCCTCACCCCCATATTTTTAGGTTTTGTAGCAAAGTAATTTTCCTGTTTCATACTTTAAACTTGATCAAGATCAATACATCTCACTCTCTGTTCATTATAGACTTTTCCACATTCAATCTATAAGTACTACACATTGTCTAGTTTTACAGTCTGCATAAGATCTAGCTTTACCTACTACCATTTGTTTATATATTGGTTAATTGTATAATTTGTGAATTCAGGGTTTTGTACAGTACTCTTCTGACAGCCTCTTTTTTTTTTCCCATCCAGGGTGGGTTGCAGGAAGTCGCCGAGCAGTTGGAGCTGGAGCGGATAGGGCCACAACATCAAGCAGGATCTGATTCATTGCTTACAGGAATGGCCTTTTTCAAAATGAGAGAAGTATGAAGACATCAGTGCCTTTTTCATTTGGTTATGTTTTTAAAACATTAAAAATCTTATCTCTGGAAAAGGTTTTTTGGCAGTAAGTGAAGCTATAACTAGAGATTATAAAGAGCATATCCACCAAACTTAAATGAAGTCCTCAGCCATTTAAAAGTCAAAATCCAAGTTGCCGTCATGTTCTGATTCATGGCGACCTCGTGTATCAGAGTAGAGCTGTGCTCCCTGGGGTTTTCACTGGCTGCTGTTTTTGGAAGCAGAGGGCCAGTCCTTTCTCCCATAGGCCTCTGGGTGGCCTTGAATCTCCAACCTTTGTTATCAGCAGATTATGCTAACTGTGCATACAACCTGGAACTTTAATTTTAAAAATAAGTTCTCTTAAATTGTAGCTGAGAAATGGAAGACTAAGATTCAAAATTTGAATGGGATAGATTCAACCATATTTCTTAGAAGAGAAATTGAAACCAGAGGTTACTAGCTTTGATTGGATTTTTTTTTTTAATTGGGAAAGGGTAATGTAATAGTGTCAAATGTGACTATAACGTGTGGATATTCAACCATTTGACTGAAAACGGTCATAGTTTTATTTTGAAAAGATTTTGACTTGACAGGTCTGTAGGGTCTGTAGGACCTCCAGGGGTTCTCCAGTACGACTGCCACTTGTAACAGATAATAAACTGGGAACTTTTGATGCCAGCTGATGTAGATGAGGAGTGGGATAGCTCAGGTCTCTTTCTGCAGTAGTGCTGCCTCCACCGAGTCAAAGACTCCATGCGTTAGATGTGTCCAAGCATTGCCTTTTCTTTAGCATAAGCTGCTTGTGAAAAATACTTGTTTGTATCGGTCTTTAATGTCTTGATTACACATTTTTATAGAGTAGGACTCAATGCTTTTTAATACATTGAGTCTTACGGATATTTTAATTCCAAGAGTGTTAAAACTGTAGTAGTAGCTGAATCAGAATTCATATGGGGCAGACCCTACTTCATTGCTAAGAAGCAGAGAGAAACTCATCAAATATAAGGAAGTTAGATGTGAAAATATGTGGAATTTAATACACAGAGGTATATATTCTACACAGATATACCCCATTGTAGGTAAATACAAAGAAAATTGATTATACAAAAACAATAGAGTGGACTGTAAGTATTCTTTTGCAGACATCCAAGCATTGATTCAGAAATCTGGGAATGTAAAACTTTATGTAGATATCTACAAATAATAACCTGTTTTGCCATGTGATATTCAGAAATAATTCAGACTGTACCTTCACGACAAGCGATTCTTTTGTACTTCCCAATGCTGCATTACAGAGTTAAAACCACCCTTTCAGTTTTCAGCTTTGCATTTTTAAGAATGCCTTACTGGTTCAATGAGTGAATTCTTCATTTGTCATGGATTCTTCAAGGACAGTTACCTAGTGTAATTGTGCTCAGAAAACGTTTAATAACTTGATTTTTATTTATTAATTTGTAACAAAGGAGTCTTGCACAAAGATTCAAGGCAACTTGAAAACCTAAACTTTTTCTTCCATGTCATTGCCTTTTTTCATTTATTCTTACTATTGAGGATTGTTTATTAGAATAGAAATGTCTGATTGCAAACTCTTGTAACACTGGTCTAAATGTTAAAAACAAGTATTTATACATGTTGTACATAGTATCCTTTTTTAATGTCTTCGAGCTCCCTACTAATTGAGGACTGCGGTTCATCCCTTAGATTTAAGTGTGGTCTCACAGGAACACATTAGGAAAGGGTTGTCAGTGTTTACATTGCTGAAATAGAAATTAATTCCCTTTGATTAAAATTATTTTTTGTTTTCTTCTCTCCCCCCTCCCCCAATCCCTTTTTAGATGTTCTTTGAAGATCATATTGATGATGCCAAATATTGTGGTCATTTGTATGGCCTCGGTTCTGGTTCATCCTACGTACAGAATGGCACAGGGAATGCATATGAAGAGGAAGCCAACAAGCAGTCATGACATGAAAGAGCCCTTCCATTTTTACTTTATTTTATTTGAACTACACACATGCTTGTATATAGGTTTTATCTCTGGTTGAACCCCGTGGACAATAGACAATACCTTATTTTTCCCTTTCAGAGCCCACTTATTTTTTGCCTGTCAGTCCTTAAGTAAGATCATTCCTATTTCAGATCTTCATAAAGAAAAGCATTCAGGTTAAATTTGGCCCTAACTTTGACCCTTGTTAGCAAGCGTGTGTGACAGAAAATGGGGGAAGCCACAGCATATTTAATATTTTGATAAATTTCACCTACTTGGGCTTGGTTTGTCTTTCCCCTCTTAAATTAACTAGCACTGACTGTAATTTATTTCCCTGTTTCATGTCTCTCCCATTCTACAGGAGTTTTAGCTATTTGAGATTGTGGACCATCAATTTTGCACTTTGGAGAGTGACTGTAACTCAAAATCCTCTGTTTTATCAGAAATTTTGACATTTGATCTTAGCTGGAAAAATAACCATCTGCCAACTTTAAACAGTATTTATTTTTGATCCACAGAAGATAGCACATTAATTGTGTACATTGTTGACTCATCAAGACCAACCCCCAAAAAGACAAAAGAAACTACTGAGGAACTTAGAAACTGCTGTTTCTGTGCGTAGTGTTTAATCTTCCAAGCACATCTCGTGTCTGTCAGTTTCTATTTGGCATGTGTAGGCTGCTCTGTGTTTAGAGGTTTTCAAACCAGCCTTACACCCTTCAGGAAAAGTCCCTTGTGGTTGGATATTTTAGTAACTGCCAGGAAACTGGTCTCCCAGATGTTGAGGCTGCAGTAATTTTATGATAGCACACACCTCTTGATCTGCTTCTTCTGTTCCATCACTTTTTACTTTTTAGCCATACTTATGACGCTCTTGATTTGTTGATTCTACAAATCAATTTGCATTAAACTCCAAAGATAGCAAGTCTTTAGGTATATTTTGTACCAAAATAAATTAGAAGACAAAATCGTGCTTTCATAGTTGCTGCAAAAATAACAAATTTGGTGCAAAACAACAAAATTCAAAGGATATATATGTGCGCTTATATATATATATCTATATAGCTAATAAAATTACCTGAGGCGTGTAATGCTTGTTTATTTTTTTGTGTATATCTTTGCAATCTATTTTATATATGTTGACAAAAGAGACTGTGAAATATTTTGCCATCCAGAATATGTGACCAGACCAGAGCATGTGTAGGAAGATGTTTTGGTAATCATTAACTTTACCCTGAAATGATGGACTACAAGTTATGATGTGTGTGATATCTACACTTCAATCAGTACTATTAGCAAATCTCAAAATGTCAGCCACATTGGTTTGTTTCCCTTGTACGTTCTTTATTCATGATGTGACAATGCTGTGACTGGGTGGTCCTTTTTAAACAAAACGTTATTTGCAAAACAGAGGGTATTATTTGTTTTTAAAGCTTTTGTAAATAAAGGCTTCAGAAATGTTTTCTTACATAGATGTTGACGGCTGGTGATTTTGTTGAGAAGTATTAGGTTATTCTGTTTATATTCTTGCAACTGAGTAGAACTTAGTCACTTCTTTCATTAACACGTTGACTTTTAGTCTTCTAACTGAAAACTCGCTTTGAGCCGTTGGTCTTGAGCCTTCCTTAAGAGTACATCAAAAAGGTATGGCAAGTGGGCCGCAGAAAGTTTGTGGGGAAATGGAATGAAAAGGTAGTGGAATATTTTAAGAAACTTTTGAAGCCTCCTTGTAAGAATTGATTTCTCTACAAAAATGCATTTATTTGGAAAGATGTGTGGAATCTGGTATTCCTTCTTATGGCTTCTTTTTAAAGCTGGTGTAGTATAGCACGTCTCTAGTAGAATTCTTGATATTTTGATCTTCAGCCTCTTAAATAGGAATTGTAAAGGTTGCTTTTTGAGTAGCCATATAGTTGCTGGCTTTTGTAGCTTGTATCAGTTTGGTTTCTATCCCTCAGAAGCAATAATATTTTATAACTTCTCTATGGAAAACATTATGATCTTTACTAAGTCTAACTTTTAGGTATATATATATATATATATATATTTGATTGGCTTTTTATTTTTTTAAGTGTTCCTGAGCAATTTATTCTGGACTCCACTGTATTAAATCTGCTCAAGCAGAGATCTGCAAACCGCAACATGGGGTGCAAAACCAGCCTGCTGCCTGCTTTTAGAGGGGCTGGACTGAGAACTCTTTTTAAATAGTTGTGAGGATACAAAGAAAAGATAAATCATGACACTTGGAAATTATATGAAATATAAATTTCTGTGTCTATAAATAAAGTTTTATTGGAGTGCATCCATGTTCATCATTTACATCCCAGTCTGTTGGGACTCTCGCACGACACTGGCACACTTGAGTCTTTGCTACAGAAACTGATCATGTGCTCTCTCACAGCTTCAGGTTACTGCTTGGTACAATGCAAATCACAGCGACCTGACAGCGTTCTGAGTGTCATGTATCTCGGCATTTTATTTTTTCAATTGTCAGTTCATCCTCATGTCAAAGCAGGGGAAGTATACTTGTGCAATCATCGAAATGTAGTGAAGTATGGGTAATTCATTTACTTAGAAAGCATTGTGTTTACTGTGCAATGACATTATAGCTGTCGTTTAGGAATACAATACCAAACTCCAGAATTAAACTCTACCATCAATTTCACCTGATGGTTGCCCTTCAGGATAGGTTAGAGCTGCCCCTGCGTGTTTCCAAGACTGTCACAGTGGGAGTAGAAAGCCATTACGCTCTCCATTGGAGCTGCAGCTGGTTTTCAACTGCTGACCTTTTGCTTCAACAGCGCAACACAAGGCAGAGGGAGACTTAAGATTGTTGGTGGAAATACGAATGAAAAGATAATAGGGTTTCTCAACAAACTTTTTGAAGACTCCCCTCAGCATGTCAGCAAAATCACATTGTATCCACTTACACAGCAACTGTCAAGATGAGAAGATGTGTGAGTGATACCATGGCACCATCTGTCAAAATGAAAATGAAGCGAGCAAAGTTTAACTTGTTGTCCAGTGTTCACCTGGTTATCCAAGCAAAGAAACGTTACTGGTGGTGAATTCGATTGTGTTTACTTGCGTGTCCACAAAGAAAAGTTGTCTAAGACTATTAGACTTTCTGTCAGAGTTACCTGGAGAATAAGACAGTGGAAGCAACAGCAGGTTATTTAAGACACAAAAATGATGGATGGTTCTCTAACCCCTGCTGAGTCAGCAACTGCTACTACTGTTGCTTGGTGCTGCATTTGAAATGCCTGGAGAATGTCTCAATAGATCACGTGAAGCCGCTACCAGTCTAACAAGAGTCTCGTCTAAGAGGACGTGAGTGATGGCAAAAGTGTTCCGTGGAGCGGAGAAGAGTGTAGTTGATTAATACCAAGGTGGTGAGACCGGCTATTAGCATGCTGTTGAGTCAGTTCTGCCTCAGCTGCCCGTTTGCAGCAGAACCAAACTGCCTGGTCCTACTCCGTCCTCAGCCACTGTCAATCCATCTGCAAGGGAAAACATGCTAAAAGGTAAATACCAAGAAAAAAATTTTGTCTTACAAGTGATGTGTATGTTCCATTAAAGTTATGGCTAAGGGCTGACGTCTGTGTCAGTACCTATCTGTAAAAAGACATTTTCAAAAATGAAATACATAGGGGCTCATTTCAGCATCAACAGACATTTGCAATCATTTCTGAGGACACTAACAACCTAATTGACCAAAATATTACCATCCCAAATTTCAGTCCATATTTGTAATTTTTTAAGTACTCAATTACGTTCTTAATTTCACCAAGGGAAGTTTTTAGAAATTTATTTTCTCATTATATAAGTGCCTATATATAATAACCTGTATAATCTCCAAAAGGAGCGCTGCTGGCAGAATGGGTCCCTACACGGTCTGCAGTGAGAAACAACAGCCGCTCCTCCAGAGGAAGGTAAGGCAGAAAATTCAAACTGCCATCAAGTCAGTTCCAAGTCATAGTGACCTTACAGGGGGGAGGACTCACCCCATTGGTTTCTAACACTCAGTCTTTATAAAAGCAGAAAGCCTATTTCTCCCATGGAACTGCTGGTGGTTTCAAACTGTTGAGCTTGGGGTTAGCAGCCCAATGTGTAGTGCACTAGGTCACTGTGAATTGGAACAGATTTGATGGCAGTGAGGGTTTTTGGTTTTCTGTTTTTCCCAAATCTTAAAACTTTTCCTATGGGTCTTCTGCAGGAAGGTTTGCTTTATCCACTATAGGTTATCCTAGGGAGCATATCTTCTGTTTCCATCTGCAGTAACAAACCTTTGGGCAAATAACCTCTGGTGAAATACAATGATGAATATGTATAGACATTTTCATTCCCATAAAATGAACCTTTGTTTTAGGACCTAAAAATTATAAGGCAAAAGGGTTGGGAAAAAATTATTAAATGAGTTCTAAATGTAGGTATTTTATAGTGAGTTAAAGCAGACTCAGACCATTTGCTGTGTTGGGAACACAGGATGAGCGTTTTGTATATGATACAGCATTGCTTTAGAAATTGCATTTAAGGCATTTAGAAATGTAGGGTTACAGACAAATCACACACAACAAGCTCACTGCCGTCAAGTTGATTCTGACTCCTAGTGACTGAAGGGCCTACAAAATTACCCATTACTTTAGACTTTAAAAAGGTGGGAAGGGGTGTATAAGTGAAAATCAACATGGGGCAAAGATTCCAAGAAGAGATTACTTTCATGTGCATTTCTACATTATCCTAATTTGTTTTAAATACTGGTGTATGGCATTGTTACGTGCCATCAAGTCATTTCTGACTCAGCAACTCTAAATAGAAAAAGAACACTGCCGGTCCTTCACCATCCTCAACGATTTTTAGGCTGGAGCCCATCGTTACAGCCACAGTGTCAACCCAGGACATCAAGAGGCTGCTTTTTCAGTGACCCTCCACCAAACATGATTTCTTTTCCCAGGCCCTGTGCCTTTCGTAACATGCCCAAAGTATGAGTGATAAAGTCATGCCACCCGTGATTCGAAGGAGCATTTGCAAGTTGAGATTTTGCTGACGATCATTCAACAGTGGTTGCAACAGTGCCTTGACAGGCCTCCAGAAATCCAGCTGATTTAAAAGATGTGGAGCAAGGTATATCATTGCCGATATCGGATCTTGGCTCAAAGCAGAGAATACCAGAAAGATGTCTACTTGTGTTTATTGACTATGCAAAGGCACTCAACTGTGTGGACCATAACAAACTGTCAATGGCCTTGAGAATTACAGGAATTCCAGAACACTTCACTGGGCTCCTGTGGAACCTGTGCATGGATCAAGAGGGAGGTAGGAGAACAGAGCAAGGGAATCCTGTGTGGTTTAAAATCAGGAAAGAAAAGTATGCTAAGCAAATAGAAAATCTGTGTCATAGGAAGACTATGACATCGGGTTGGAGGAAGGCTTATCAACGACTTGAGCTAAGTAGTTAACACCCTTGCTTGCTGCAAGTGAGGACACGAAGCACTTGCTGATGAGTTCCAGTCTGAAAACGCCAAGAGCATGTGCCTTTTACATATTGCCCGAATCGTGTCAGAGGTCTCAAGTTGTTTTGAGGGAAACCTTTCGCCGTTTCTGGTCTTAGACACCACCCCTCCTGCCCCCCGAACAAAAACTAACATTGCTTCCTGTCAGCTTGTGTCTTTTTAGCTTAGGGCTCTGTTTTCTTCACTTGAAGATAGTTTTCTTCTGTAGCAGAGAATCTGCCATTTATTAACTGGGTTAATGTCTTATACTCATAGCAACCCGATAGGAAAGGTGTGTCTCTCAGAATGCACTTAAGGGAGTAGACAGCTTCGTCTTTCTTCCACAAAGCAGCTAGTTGTTTCAAACTGCTGGCCTGTAGTTAACAGCTCAACGTGTAACCACTACACTGCTCGATGGCAATGCGTTTGGTTTTTAGTTTGGGTAAGAACATTATCTGGAATACACAAAGCAATGATGAGCAGTTACTAGTTTAAAACACCATTGTTGCAAAGGAGTCAGTGCAGTGGGCTCAGGTAGCAACCTGTTCTTGAAGCATCTGACTTCAGAGGCCATAAGTATTGAGATGTTACATACCCCTGCAAAACCCAGATGTAAAGGAGAACATAAAACACAACTGTGCTTGTGCTATACATGGTCATATGCAGGCATACCTTGAGATTTGACAGGTTCACGTACAGACCATCCCAATAGTGGTTTCCTGTGTATATAAAAGTCCTGTTTGCAGCATACTGCAACCTGTTACAGGAGTCCTGGTGCCCCAGCCAGGTAAGCACAGGGTTGCTAACCATAAAATCAGTGGTTCACACCCATCAGCTGCTCCTTGGGCGAAAGCTGAGGCCAGCTTCTCCCATAAAGATTGGTAGTCTTGGAAATCCATTGACATGCTCGCTGTGAGTCGGAATCTATTTGATGGCAGTGAATTGGGTTGTTGGCGGTGGTGCAGTACATTACTCT